CATACCACTCCCGAAGCCGCGTTCGGCCGTTTCCCGCGCTTCAGCGAAGAGTTTGAAAGTCAAAGTGGTGAGGTTGCGAGTCCGCATGCTTGCTGCGTCAATTTATTATTCTTTGCTTTCAATTCAAGTTAACACTATGGTTCTCCGTCTCGTCTGATGAGTTCCTACAAGTTGGCGACGGTAAGAAGCTTTTACATTTTGTCAAAAAGCTGAAAACAATGACCAATTTATCTGTTGCCTTGCATTTGCTCATAAAATCTTAACTTGTTTTAGGGGTGCCGTTCGTCTTAAGCTCCCACATTTTACGTCAATCTGGTGGTAAGAAATTTATCCTGGCGTGCCTTCATCTCACTTCTGTAGGTCTACTGTAACTACAAAAGCCCGCCATCAGACAGTAATAAATGCGAAGTGTTCCAATCTGCACTTGTGTTGTTGCGAGTTATTTGTATATCCTCTGCACCACTCTACCACACTGAACTGTATTGAATGAAATAGCTATCATCGTGAAAATTAGAAATAACATAGAGACGCTTGAGTTGACATTTCTCTGAAGAAAATTTAAATTACAGGGTAATTTCAAAGCAGATGTTTATTGTATATGACTGCGAACATTAGGCTATTACAAAGCTTTGCAGCAATCATCCATACCTACAATTCTGAAGTACTATCATTAACTAATATTGTAATACATAAGGTAATTTCAAAGCTTTGCAGCAATAAAGAAGAGACTATTATACACCTATCTTCAGAATACATACATATATACAAGGGTTTAAGAAGTGTTCATCTACAAGGAACGGACAGTCATCCAAACACTGTTAAAAATTCTGTACCCAGAAACAGAATTCATACAGATCGTCCTGTACTTCCATACTACGGTCAAAATCTGTTCGACTGGTATTTGAGGGATAAAGACTTGACATATTGCCGCTTGAAAAGAACTTTCCTCCAGAATTAAGTACAGTGCAAACTACAGGATTAAACTGATTTCAAAATTACCAGCCTATTCTGTAGTTATTTACTGTTGTAATTTTGAACTGTGTATCTACACTTCTGAAGTACTATCATTAACTAATATTGTAATGCACAAGATAATTTCAAAGCTTTGCAGCATTAAAGAAGAGACTATTATACCTATCTTGAGAATACATACATATATACAAGAGTTTAAGAAGTGTTTGTCTACAAGAATAGGACAGTCAACAATTGACCAGTTAATTAAGATAGGAGGAAAGTTTCTCACCATACTGGATAAAAAATTAGATTTTAAGAAAGTAAGTAGAAATTGGCACTTGTAAGCATTTTCCCTACACAGGATCTGATAATTTAAGTTTTAAGTATTAACTAGAAGGTACTGTGCCGTGACATTCAAAGTAATAGAGTCAAATTTTATGATTGTTAAGTTATTGCTAAAAAGTTCTTCAAAATTACTCATCACTGTCAGTTTCAGCATCACTGTGATCACTGTCATCACTGTCACTGTCCTGGTCTAGACGCATGCCATGGTTGAGTGCTCCCTGGTTGACCCAAGACACTGCTTCGAGGAAGGCTCCAGGGCTTAGTTGCCCCCTGACCAACAGACCCGACAACCTCTGAACTCTCCTGTCATTCGCCAAGGTCTTCCATCGAGGTGCATCAGTGACAGCTCTTCCTGTTTGACCAGCTAGTTTGTCACTCCATGCCAAGTGCTCCAACTGAACGAATCCACCTGTCAAAAGGAGAAACAATATAAATAATTGATATGAAGTAAACAAAATCTTGAGTGAATAACTGTGTTTTGCAGTACACTTGCTTTCCTAACAACCAAACAATTTCTTTTCAAAACAAACTGCTCCTGATCGTGGTAAAAAATTAAACTAAATTGGAAACTTACCAATAAGGGTAAAAATATTGGGATGATTCATGGGGATAGCCATTGCCAAGGAGCGGTTGTCAGATTCAGAGCAGTTATTAGTTCTCTCCTCTTGATCATAAACAGAGAGCTCGTTGACCCTTGGCAACCACTCCCTTCTAAAGTAACGAAAGAGTGGTTCTAAATCATTCGACCAGCCAGCAGCTTCAACTTGGTTCCATATTTCTTCAATGCCATTGGCAATCAGTGGGGCAGGAAGGAGAGCTGCTCCACAAAGGCACCGTATGAAGGTATGGATGAGGTCATTTTCAGAAGCTAATGGTGCCAAGCCCTTCTTCACTGCATGCCTCCCAATACACTGAAATAATTTGAATGCTTTAGAACAAATCAATGATTAAATGCCAGGTTAGCTTCAAACTAATTTAAAAGTACCTACCACGCCAAAATGCCAGAGGCATCCAACAATGTCAGCCATGGGGAACACTCTCCGGAGTGCATTGATGGTGGCCCTCTCAAAGTCGCAGTGGATTCTCTCAGGCCTTAAGTTCGGAGCGAGGACTCTGAGGTAGGAGAAGAGTTCGACATAGGCTTCTTCAGAACGGCTCATCATCAGCACTCTAACAACAGCTACAATCTGTGGGAGAAGCAACAAGTTACTGAAGCTGCTGACTCATTTAATGGTGTATCTCATTGTAATTAACAAAGATTACTTACAGATCTGCCATATCGGGTGACAATATTGAAGATTTGTCTACAACCAGGTTTCCGTGGCCGCTTTTTAAAAGTTCCATCCATGTGAAGATTTTTGCAGGTTTGAAGAAAAGTAAGCATTCTGCCAGACATGAACACTACAGACACAGTTTTGGACAAAACATTGCCTACAACACCCTGGAAGATGAAGTCTTCACCATGTGTGGTCTGACAAATCCTTCTCAAATTAGGTGAGCCCAACAGGACACCCAAGTGCAGCAAAGTATTCGGGATCTTAGGATAGTTGGCACAGCGAGCAGTGTAGAGACATGAATGCATCCTTGCAATGGTGAAGCGCCGGGCAAGGTCTGGATGGAGCCTGTTAAAAGCAAGGGCAAAAACGTGTCACAAAAGAAAACAATCTAACTTCTCGGTTCCTACTCTGCGTAGAAGAAGATTCTCAAAATAGAACAGATAAGTCAGATGATTGAACACAATTGCTTATTTACCTTAACCTAAAGTCGCGCAGGAGCTTGCGGACACTAGCTCCGGTGATCAAAGTTCTTGCTTCTTGAACCATTGCCGTTCGTGCAGCAATATCCTCAGGGAGTTGTTCATCTCGCTCACAGCTGTGGTCTTGCAATCGATAGATTTCAAGCTGATCACTTGTACGGTTGAGAACCATTTTGGCAGTTGCATTGCACCCACTAGCTGCTTTCCGGCACTTCAGTCTTATCCTCAAAGGACGCACTTCTTTCACATGGTAATAGTATCCATCACCAACATGTAAAATACATGAGTTGACCGATCTTCCGGGGAGCACTTGCACAGTATCAAGAGCAGCCATCGTAGCAGAAAACGAACATTGGATTGGAAGACCACTGACTGCAGACGACACCTGTGCACGGCTTTTGAAGATGAATTCGATTAGCTGGGGATCGAATTCAAGGGAAGAACAGCAGGGAATACTGCAGCCTTTCTCGGCCAGTGGTTTGACCAAGGTTTGACCGAAACGCAACATAATTTTATAG